CTTGAGACTTGAAGGCTACTGTGCTGCTTCATCGGCAGTAATAGGCCAAATCCATTGGGATTTCCTGCCAATCACAGGCTTGTGGTGGGATCTTAATAACTTTCCCTTGGAAGCTGATAAAACTGCCTTTTTTTTTTCTTTCGTTCATCAATCTGTCGTTTATCATGGTGACACGCAGACATGCAGCTCAAGGAAACAGTGGCATAGATTCAAAGTCCAGGCAGCGTGTTTCTGTGGCAGTATTGTGCTTGGAAAGGGTTAAAGATCCACTGGAACTGCTTTACCGTGTCATAACATGTTACTGTTGAACTCCATGAAACGTCCTTGTGTGTGATGCATGACCTTAAAGTTGAACCTGTTCATGACAGCTCATTCAGATTAATAAAACTGCAAAATTGTGCATGGGCTTGTGCGTTTTCCTAATGAGAAAAGAAAGGCTAAATGAGCTAAAGTTGATTTCACCAACTCACCTGGCTCACTCATCCGTGTACTCTGCAAATTGAAGATGCTAATTTCCTCTGTAATCACATGCGCATAAGAGCAATCACTTGCCTCGTTGAGACTTTAGTCAAAATGCTAATTAAAACTCGCGGCCCTGCAAATGAACAATTTAGAATTCATTATCCTCTTTTGTGTGTCTTTTTCAGTGTTTGCATTTTTGCATCTAATTGCCAAAACACTGCGGTGTTACAAAAAATGTCAAAATTCCAGCTGGACTTTATCTAATCTTACTCTACAGCTGTTCAGAGGGTGCTATGACTGGTGTCATGCCATTCAATCCACATGGAATATAGATATTCAGACGTTGCACAGGCAGACCAACTCCACTAGGATCAATATGTAGCATGGTCTTCTAGCACATTGTCTTTCTGCCTGAGCCCTACAAAAACAACCTCCAGCAGGCCACTGGAGTGAATGTTTCTGACTAAGCAATCAGAAGCAGACTTCATTAAGGTTGACCTGTGAGCCTGATATCCTCTAGTTGGGGGCGTCAGGACCCCCATTGGTATTTGTCATATTTGCCAAAATTGGCAGGTACATAACTGCTGCCGTGTGCTTTTCACAGATGAGAACAGGTTCACCCTGAACACATGTGACAGCTGTGAAATGGTCTGAAAAAGCTGTGGAGAACATTGTGCATCTAAAGGAATCTATACCATTGACTGGTCTCCTCGTTTGCCTGACCTAAATCCAACAGAACATCTCTGGGACATTATGTTTCGCTACGTCCGACACCACCAGGTTGCATCTCAAACTGTCCAGGAGCTCAGCGACGCCCCGGTCCACATCTGGGAGGTGTTCCCCCAAGACACCATCTGTTGTCTCATTAGGAGCACTGACATTATCAGGCATGCATACAAGCACATGGGGGCCAAACCAACTACTGAGTAACATTTTTATTTGCTGTGACTAGCCTGGTGCATCATTTTTTCACTTTCAGGGTGTTTTTGAAATCATATGTCTGTAGGTTGATCGTTTTCATTTTCATCCATTTCTGTGGCATCCTTTAATTCCATATCAGTATATATGTGATTTTTCCTATGGAAATGTGATGTTTTTAAAGTATTCCTTTATTTTTTTCAGCAGTGTACTAAAGAACAGATCCCTGCTTCCTTCCTTCCTTCCTTCCTTCCTTCCTTCCTTCCTTCCTTCCTTCCTAATGTTTTAAAAATAAGAAACACTTTGAAACAAGAAAAACATGCCAACTTGTGTTTTGTTCTACTTTTCTATTCAGAAAGTTCAAAGCAGGGGAATAAAAATCAACAGTACTTTTCGCCTCTTGGAGCAGCAGCACACCTTTTGTTCCACTTTGATCCCCGTCTTTGTCAAACCCCCTCAAACCTCTGCTTTCTAGGTCTCTGATTACCTCAGAAGAAGCAGCCAAGACTAAAGTCTGGTTGCTATGGTAACGAATGTGGATTTGAATACCCTTGATGTGTGGTGAAAGTGTACCTGTATGTGCACTTGTTTGCATGCGTCTCAGTGAACGAGCAGCAGGCAGAGGACCAGAGGACTGGCTGTGTGTGTAACAGCAGGTTTGCGTGGACACTTTGAGTTCAGACTTCACATGGCTCAGGCTGAGGTGGAGTTTAAGCTCTCTTTCCCAACCGAACACACGCCGATAATAAACGATTCACGCGACTCAGAGACAACACCTTCACTTTATAATCAGTCACAGGGGAAAGTGTTGTTTTCAAACACAAGCCCAGAGGATGCAGCTTTGTGAGAGTCCACATGCTGTGTGAGCGAGCTTTTATCTCCTGCTGACTTTCTTACCCACCTAATAAATAAGGATTGTCTTTGGTTTGTGTTGCTCTGTGGTTTGAAGCGTGTTTTTTGAAGCGTGCCGGCGTGTTTTTAATCTGTTGTAGATTAGCTTCCTAATCTCTACTACCTAGACTTTGGAATAGTCTCCTGCTGTTAAAAAGCAGTTATTATTTAACAGCTTTCTGTTGAGATTTTTTATTGTTAGTAACTGATTTTGATTAATCGTATTATTTTGATTGTGCTTTGTGACTTGTGTCTGCAAAAGGCGCTTTACAAATAAACTTCACTTGCTTTTTCTCAGTTTAAAGATTTGATAGGTTTTCTATGGCCTACTGTGAATAAGATACAGGTTAATAAGATTTGCGGATCACTGAGTTCTTTTTTTATTCATATTTTATACACCGTCTCACTTTTTTTTGTGATTGGGTTTGTATAGCACTTGTAGTTATATAGTAAACTGAGGCTTTTTTGTACTATTAACTTTTTACCATAATAGTTTTCCCACGTTGATTAAAAAAGCTAAAATTACATTAATTCAGCTTGAATGTTATTAAATAAGCAATATCAATCCAACGATTAAATACATATTTAAAACGTATACTCTTATATGTTATTACTTGTAACAAGTAGAAGTACTTTGAACTCTTGATAGTACTTATCTTTTTACTTAAAGAAATTTCCCTGTAGCTTCTAAAGGAAAGTCTGAGGAATATCCTCCACTATCAGATCAAAAGTATTCATAAATGGTATAACAACTTAATATATTCAGATTTGTCTGCTTCTTTGATTGGTTGTAAACATGCATTGAATGTGAAAAACAAGTAGGAGGGTTTTGATACAACTGATCAACTGAAGGGAGAACTGGCAAATGTCCCACTTCTTGTGACAAGCTTCTGATTTAAAGCAAGCACATTCACCTATAAGATACAGTACAAATCCTCCGGTGGATGTGGTGAGTCGTTTTTGTCTTAAAAGCTAACACATCAAAGGAAAATCTCTATCCCACCTACACTTGGCTTCCATTTCCATCTCTCTCTGGCTCTATAGCCAGCTTTTTGGGGCTTTAGGTGATGAGTGTCCTTGGTGAAAAATGAGAAGGCTAGAGCCAATGTGTCCATGCTCTCTGCTCTGAATAGGAATTCACAGCAATGCACCGACAGACTTATGCTCAGTGGGCTTTTTGGCACGGTCCCCCCGCCGTGTGTGTGTGTGTGTGTGTGTGTGTG